CAAAGGAATCTTTTCTGGGAAATGTATTGGCAGCAGCCTTGTGGTGTTGGTGCTTTATGGGTTCATATTCATATGGAAACAGATTACTGCTGGGAGACATGTAACATGGGGCTGGTTATAGTATTTTAATGGAAAAAGAGATTTGTAATGGCCCTTACTTGGGTTGTTATATTTAGTGTTGTTGTATTTTTTTTCTCTCCAGGTGTCTGTGAAGGTTCTCATTCATCCCGGTCATGGTATATCTGTAAAAAATAAATCAAAGCAACCGGACTTGCTGTATTTTTCTTGACGTTTCGCTCATCCGACCAGCTTTCTTCATTCAGGAATTGAATTGAGAAAGCTGGTCGAATGACCAGCAAAACGTCTTCAAGAAATATACAGCAAGCCCCGTTTGCTTTGATTTCATTTTTTCCAGATGTTCAATAAAAAAAGTGCATTACCCCTTTAACTAGGTTGTGGTGTTAATAGACATTTCCTCCCTTCCGCTGAACACAGTGCCGTGTCGTTTTAATGCTCAGTGGTGGGGTGTGCGCCTTCTCAGGTCTGCTCCTGTACGCCTTGTACATTTATTTATTTTTAGCTTAGAAAACATCCCCACCTTTTGCCCTGGTAACCCTCTACTGGCCAACATTTCTTCCTCTCTTCTGCAGACAGTAGAAACCTTCTTTCAGGGCACCTTCATGATTGTGTAACAGATTTTCCTGCGTTGAGGTGGCCCATTCATTTTGATCAACGCATGAAAAATACCGCACCTTGCAGCCTTTTCTTCTTCAAAGCAGCTCAGCACGACACAAAGAGGAACTGCCACAGAGCTCAGGGGGCCTCCATTGTGTAGGTGTATGACGGAGTGGGGAGAAGCGTTTACTCGTTGCAGTCGGGCTGAGCTTCAGAGCAAGCATTGGGCATGCAGAATTATAGAGGTGTTGGAAAGGAATGTTTTTGGGTCTAATTTTGGTTATGACCTTTTATTAATCGCTGAGACAGAAACCAGTTTGTCAACATTCCTAGAGAGCTGCATGGGTCATAAAGGTTATTGAAGAAACAATTTGTATGGTGGGCCGAGCTACTATTGGAATATTTTCCTAGAAGACAATGCAGTGAGCAATGGTTTTCTTGCCCATTAAGAGGCATAGAAAATCATATACTATTGAGTTATATTATCGCCTATGGGAGGATTGGACACAGGCGAACACAACATTGTAGGCCAGCCAAGGCTAGCCCCTCCTACTCCCAGCATGCCCTTTTTTACTAGCTTACTTTTTTTTTTTTATTGATGTAGTACGCACCACTTAAAGTGACATTAAACCCTCAGATTTTTTAACATAAACCAATACTGTAATGTGCTCCTTACTGTAATCTATTGTTGTTTCCCTTCTCTTTGCTGGTCTTCCTTTTAAATCCTTATCTCTTCTCATGCTGGGGGAGAACTTCCCTTTGCAGCTGAGTGCCTCTTCCTGTAGTGCTGGCTCAGGTTGCAAACCTACACACAGACACCATGTATCCATTCCAGAGACAAGGCAGTCTGCTGCAAAACAGAAGTTCTGCCCAGCATGAGAAGAGATACGGATTTAAAAGGAAGAGCAGCAAAGAGAAGGGAAACAACCATGGATTACAGTAAGGCGCACATTACAGTATTGGTTTTAGGTTAAAAAAATCTGAGGGTTTAATGTCACTTTAAGGTTTGGTCTGTAGTCTCTATCAGTGATGTCCCAGTTTGGGATCCTTTAGGGCTTCCAAGACATCCGGTGCACCTGCCGTTTGCTATCTTGCTTTATGGAGAATGAAAACATCCCAACAAGATGTTTGTGCCCACCAAGTACTTTTCAGTCCTCTTCCCATGCGAGTAGGGCTTTAATAAAAATGGACTGCACTCTCTGGCTCTGGCTGGTAGAATCCCGTCTTAAAGTGTTTACCGTCGCAATGGAGGGTGCACCTGTCTTTAGGGACACCACTGACAGTCAAATGGAGGCTCTTTCTAGTGCTTTGCTCTCCCTAGCAGGTCCTGCAGTGCAAGGTGTCTTATTGGTGACCTTGATCTGTTGAACCCTGACTGCACTGGTCTAAGGTCATTGGATGGCATCTGATCACTGTGGCAGTTGTTATCTAAGGAGCATTTGGAACTCCTGTTTTCATCTACACTGTAGCTCAACACTGCATTGTTGAACATCTTCCTTCTCAATCGCTTTTGAGTTCCCTGACCACAAACTCTTTGGCTAATGTGTTGCCTGCCAAGCCTGCATCTAAAAATCTCAGTCTGGGAAGACTCACCCCTCGGAGGAAGCCAAAATAATTCCCTTTTTCCACTCTCCCAAGTCCAGACCTTGCTCTCCGCTCCCTCCCCAGTTTTGTCTACTCTTTGCATGAGAGTCCTGCTGATCTTCCAGGTAGTCCCGTTTGCCTAGTTTCATTCTATACCCTTACACGGCAACATTCTTTAGTTGTGTGACAAGTCAGTCCAGTCCTTGGACAAATCAATTGATCTAGCACCTAAGACCAGGTGGTTCCTGGTTTGGTGGCTTAGGAATCTGTTTCTGGAGTTAGGGGATGTCCATTATTCCGGTCTTCTGGAAGATCCTGGTGACGCATGCCAGCCTATGAGTCCTGGGCAACTTGTCGGTGCTAGGGACTTGGACTTTGGCAGAATCTCATCTCCCGATCAACATTCAGGAACTTTAAGCGATTTGATTGCCCTGCAATGTTAGATGCCTTTGGCTGGAGGGTCATCTGGTCCAGATTCAGTTGCCCAATGCCACAGCAGTGCGGTACATCAACCATCGGGGAGGAAGTGGAAGTCTTGCCATGGCGAGATGTAGAGTGGTTCCTGTCCTGGGCAGAACTTCTTGTCCAGCCTAGTCTGCGGTTTTTACCCCAAGGGTAAATTGTTGGCATATGTTCACAGCTGGCAGTGCATGGATTGGGGGGGGGGAGTGATTCCTAAACCCATAGGTGTTACTGAACCTATGTCACAGGTGGATGTGGACCTAATGGTCTACAGGTTCAACTACAATCCGGACAGGTTTTTCTCCAAGCATAGGAATCCTCTAGCGAAGCAGTGGATGCTGAGGTGACTCCATCGCATCAGTACACCCTGATCTATGTCTTATTTTTTCCCCCTGAAATTCAGTCCTGATCTTCATAGCTCCAGATTGGCCAAGGTGGATGTGGTTCTCCAGCCTGAGAAGACTTCTGTCAGGTGCCCCGTGGGATCCGAGGGACAGAGACTACTCGGAATCCATTATTCCCACAAAGCTAAAAGCTAGGAAGTCTACTTCTCACTACTTGGTGCAAGGACTCCTGGCTTACCATTCTTTGATGAATACATTTGTGCAGGGTGCCTCCTATGTGGCCCAGCTGGATCTGAATTTGGTGTTCTCAGCACTTCTACAACCGCCTTTTGAACCTATCAGCGATATTCTCCTTTCCACTCTCCACAAGGTTGCATTTTTGTTGCCATCATGTGTGCAAGTTGAGTTTCCGAGCTGGTGGTCTTATCCTGTAAAGAAATGTTTCAGGTCTTGCACAAGGACAAGGTGGGGTTGAGACCTCCAACAGTACTTTCGTACCTAAGGTAGATTCGGCTTTTCACCTCTACCAGGGCATCGTTCTTTTGTTCCCCTGGCCTAGTGCAGTTAACCAAAAGCAGATCTCTCTCTATTACCTGGATGAAGTTTGGGCTGTGAGCATTTATCTTGGAACCACTGCTTCCTTCAGAAAGACTGACTCTGTCGTTCTTGATGGTCCCCATAAGGGTTGTTCAGCTTCTCATTCCACCATTTCTGGGTGGGTCACATAGGCCATTATTCAAGCGTATGGTCCCAAGGTTTGGGTGCCACTCTTTCCTGTTAAGGCACCATCAACTAGATCTGTAAGCCTCCTGAGCACTTTGGCATCAGGCTACTGTTTCTCAGATTTGCAAGGCTGTCACCTGGTCTTCTGTTCACATGTTGTCAACGTTTTACCAGGTGCACAGGCCTCGTCTGATGCCAGCTTGAGGCGGAAGGTTCTTCAGGTGGCTCTTTGAGCTGCAGGCAATTCTCAGTTCTGTTGTTTTTTGTGGGCATGTTAGCATTTTGTTTGCTGTTCCCCACCCGTCCTTTAGGCTGCTTTTGGACATCCTGACACTGAGTTCCTGTGTCCCTCAATGTGCAAGAGAGAAAATAGGATTTTTTTTAATTTAATTTTTTACCTAAAATCCTTTTGTTGGATTTTTTTGAGGGAAGAAAAACTGAGGCATGCTGGGACTGCGAGAGCTTTTTTTGTTTTTTTGTCTGGTCTACATTATTATGTTTGCATGTCTAGTCTACCTGTAAGCAGCAGTATAACCAGACAGTGTTTGACTTCCTGTGTCCCTTAGCCCTCGTTCACACCTGAACGTTTTGTAACGCGTTCTACGCTCTACAAAACGCTCAAAAATATAAATCCCATTGTATTCAATGGTCTCGTTCCCACCTTTTTGGACTGTTTAGACCAGCTTTTGTTGGCTTCGTACAGTCTTTGCATGCTCATACGAGTCTATGGGAATGCAAAGCCTGCTTGAAGCAGGTCAGGTGCCCCCGTGGGCGAATTCTGAATAATCCCAGGGGTGTCTCAAACTGATGCCGTTGACACGGGCCACTAAACTGCAAGGAACGGGTACTATGATGTCGTAATCAATCATCCAATTTTCCAAAGGACCGTGTGCATTTTACATATGGGACTCGCAGTTCTCATTTTGAAATCGTATGGAAATGTTCTGATCCAGAGGCTATATTTAATGCACGTGTTGGGTCAAAGAGGAATTTTTTACCCTGGGATATGTGTTTAGCCTTCCTCTGGGCCAGTACTTGTACTCGATAGATCTTGTTCTCAGCCTATTTAGCTGTGTAACTATGACCTCTGTGTGTGGCAGGTGGGATTGACTTTCTTTTCTGTCCCTGTTCTCCTTCTCTCATTGCTCCCTTTCCCATGTGTCTACCTTTTGCCTCTGCACACCTACCCCTCTCCTCCCCTTCTGTCTCCAGTCCAAGGAGCTGCAGATCAAGCGACAATTCCAGGACACCTGTAAGATCCAGACCAGGCAATACAAGGCTCTCCGCAACCACCTTCTGGAAACCACGCCCAAGAGTGAGCACAAGAGCATCCTGAAGAGGCTGAAGGATGAGCAGACCCGCAAGCTGGCGATCCTGGCTGAGCAGTATGACCACAGCATCAATGAAATGCTCTCCACCCAGGCAGTACGTATCTATCCATTCCCTCATGTCCTCCTGATCACTAATTGCTTGTAGCATGTGTAGCTCGAGACCTCGTCCTTCCATATTTAAGTTCCAGTAGACTAATAAGTATTTAAACCCCTAAGCAGTTTCATCTTCTGCTATGAACATAGAAGACTGAATCATGTCAAATACAGCCACAATAGAGGACAGCTTTGTATAACTTTCACTAGATCCGCCCACCCCTAAGTCTATAGTAAAAAAACTTCCCCATCCACAGGGTGACAACGCTGCTGCACAATTTCATGGCAGAACAGAGAGTGGTGTCACTCTTTTAAAGAGAGTGGAAAAAATACCATGGCTTCTCTCTGACTTTCATGTTTGTTTTGGGTCAGCCACTTTGAAAACATTGTTACCATAGACCAGCGTTTCCAAACCTTTTTTCAGTCACGGCACCCTTTAAAAGTATGCAAAATCTTCAGGCACCCCAGTCTAAAATGTATAACCGATAAATGTCAAAAATGTTGCGTGGCCCCCTCCAAAATCCATACCAGACCTTCATCCCTGATAGGGTTCTGGTACGGATTTTAAGGGGGAAACCCCGCACCAAACCACAAAAAACACATAGGAGCAAAGAACACATTCACTTCAGAAGCCCCCTTCCCATCATAGTACTATCATTACATCAAGAGCCACAACAGCAAGCGCAAAGGGCGTAAGGCAAAGTAGGCCTGGATGGAGGAAAAATTCAGTTCCTTTTCTAAATTCCACCCTCCCTGGATAAGCATCATTCATTTCCATGGTGCAAGCAGAGCACCAGCCTAAAGCAATGCAAACATTTCAAGGTTCCCCAAGGTGCCACAGACTCCTGGCCATAGACAGCCAGCAACTAGCATTTTCAAAAATCACCCCAAATTGGACTTCAAACATGTCTGCCTGGGGTCATAACACACAGGGTAATGGCACTGTAGTTTAGACAAATCAGATAACATTGTTTGTTTCCAGGTCAGCTCACAGGAAGTGACAGACATACTGCATTTCTGGCAAGATCATCTACAGGTATCTTCTGTACTTGCTGAGAATGTTCTTAGCCTGAAGCCCTCTTCTGGGACATGGCAATAGAAACCTGACAGAGGTTCTGAGACTTGCATGATCCACCAAAAAGTATAATAAAAGTTTAAACTATGTGCTTCAAGAGTTGCTCAAAACACCCCTTGGTTATGGTTTGTCCCAACCCCTCTCATGGTTGTTGGGCAGTTAGGCCTTCATGTAAATGTGGAGGAAATTTATAAAGACATGTGAATAAAAAAAAAACTTCTCTTACCCGCTCTGTCAGAAATAAAAAAAAAAGTTGGGCTTTATTGATGTTGGGCAGTTATGATGTTGGGTTATTTAGATTCTGACTCAATATAATTCCTTGCTAGTTGCGGCTGGACGAGACGCAGGAGGCGGAGTACCAGGATCTGCGGATTCAGCTTCAGAAAGAGCTGGAGCTTCTGAACGCCTACCAGAGCAAGATCAAGATTCACACGGAGGCCCAGCATGAGCGGGAGATCAAAGAACTGGAACAGCGGGTGTCTATCCGGCGGGCCCTGCTAGAGCAGAGGGTGAGGATTGTGCCCGGGCGTTGGGAATATGGTTAGGGGTTGGCTTTATCTGAGTACTTATGCACTGTTCTTTCCACAGATAGAAGAGGAGATGTTGTCCCTGCAGAGCGAGCGCTCCGAACGCATCCGGAGCCTTCTGGAACGCCAAGCCCGGGAGATTGAAGCGTTTGACTCTGAAAGCATGCGGCTGGGGTTCAGCAACATGGCGCTCACTGGCATTCCCGCAGAGGCGTTCAACCAGGGCTACCCGGCCCCTCCTCCAGGCTGGCCCTCTCGTCCCGTGCCCCGCAGTGGCTCGCACTGGAGTCACGGTGTACAAAACACGGGGGCCCCCCAGCTCTGGCGCCAACCGACACTGCTCGCACCTCCGTCCTCCTCATGGGGTCTGCACCCTTCGATTTCCTCCTCTTCTGCCATGCCTTCCTCCTCTTCCTCTTCTTCCTCCTCCGCCTCGCCGTCGTCCTCCAGCGGCCGGGCCGGCCTCCTGTTGCTCCGTAACAGCCCCCAGCCCCTGAGGAGAGGACCCACTGGTGGCCCATCTGAGTCTGGATTGAGCCGAAGCACCAGTGTCACTTCCCAGCTCTCTAATGGCTCACACCTATCCTATTCCTGAGCCTTTCACCTATTGCCCCTCCCTGCCCGCGCTAGGCTGAAGCCTCTGTTTCTTGACATTAACTCGTGCTTCTGTCAATATGACTTTTTCCCTCTTCTACCTTTTAAACTTATTACCCTCCTGCTCAGTTATCTCTTTATGTCCCTTCCACATTTTCTTCACTATCAAATCTTTATTTAAACTCCATTTGTTACAAAACACCACTCCTCTTTACCCTGCTGGCGCCGGGCGAAGCCCCATGTACATAAAACTTTGACTCCACCTCTCCCCAATTCATATTTTTTTTCCCCTCTTGGTTAAGACCCTTGAACTGCTCAAGTATTTCACCCCATCTGTGGTAGAAGATCACAAAGCTTGTTTTTCTAGCACTTTATCGGGTAAAATGCGTACAGATATATATTTTTTTTTTTAGTCCCTTTTATTATATGTTCAGTCGCTGTATCATTTTAATGATGTTGTCACTGGTTTTTTTTTGTTTTTGAGGGGCGGTTGTGAGTCTGTGTGTGCCGCAAGTGTGCGAGAGATCGGGTGCGTGTTACAATTCTCTTTTTTTTTTTTAAATAGATAAGATTTAAAAAAATGTAATAAAAAGAAAAACTATTAAGGAATGTATTAAAACAATAAATAAAAAAAACAAAAACTACTCAATATCCCCTCGGGGGCGTCTCGGGCCACGAGCCTAGGGTTTGTTATTTTGTTTTTTGCCATTTTTTATTTTATTTTAATTTTTTGGAAGAAGAGAGTATGACGCAGGACGGAAGGACTTTGCGTCTCCCTGGTGGCTGTAGAGATTTCAGAGACTTTACATGACAAAATGTTGGATATTAAAGGATTAAACTGGAATGGAAACTTGCCTCTGTGTCATGAAACTTGTGGGTAGTTTGGACTTCAACTGCACTTCAAAGCTGGACTGTTGGAGGGACCATCAAAAAACACATCTCCAGGCAAATATAATCCAGTTCCATTTCCCTTTCTAATCCATTGAGGAACACAGAAAGTCATATACTGTTGGGTTATACTGCTACCTTCAGGAGGATCAGACACTGGCAACAAAAAACTAGTCCAGCCCAGGATATAACCCCTCCTACTCCCAGCATCCCTTAGTTTTTTTTTTTTTTGCTCGTGTCCAAGGAGGAAAGACATCTTTTCTTCTGCTCTGCTGTGAAAAGTCTAACCCTTTTTGCTAGTTTTTTTTTCTCCAATTGAGATCCCTAATAAATCACTTGAGCCGGACTCTATATGGCAGCTGTCCAGATCAGCCTTTTCTCAGCCAGACTTTCAGTGACGCATCTAGACCCCGCTGGCAAAGGGACCTTTAAGCAGTGTGTTCTGCTTGTGTTACCTTCCAGATGCCATGGAGTACTTTCCTTGTCCAGAGCTATGGCACTGCCTCAGTACTTGCCCTGTCCTTGAAAACCTACTTTGTGACTATGCCATTCAGGCTGAGCACCGGCAGCTATCTCATTACTCATTATTGACTTATTGTCAAGTTTCACTGCAGAAGGACTTAATGCTGAGGGACCGAGCGCTGATGCCATCTTCCCGCTGCTGCTCCTGCTTTGCAAGAGAGTCATGTGGAACCTTTGATACTCTGTGCAACCCTGCAGCCTATCTACAGTGAGTTGGTCAGCTCTGACCCTACACCTTCTACCAAGCAGTTGGGTTTTTGAGTACCTGAGGCCTTGCCTCATACCATGAGCTACATTGACTTCCCATCTTGTGGTGCAACACGTTTGTTTCTAGACTAAGAGGGGCCAGTTCATACCATCCCTGTGGAGGATGCACCTGCTCCACTGGAGACTCTTTTTAGTGCTCTGTTCCCCCTAGCAAGTCTTGCACTGCCCCCTGTCTTAGCTGTGACCTTGATCTGTCAAACCCCGACTGACTGGTCTAAGGCTATAAGAAGAAATCTGATCGCTATGGCAGTTGATTCCTTTGGTTATAGAGCATATTAAACTCATGCCTACAGCCCTGAATTACAGCGTGGACTTGTTGTTGGTTGTCTCCCGTCTCATGTTTCCATATGAGTCGGTGAACATGAGGTGGACTCTGGCTAAAGTACTGGACTATGGAACTTGCATTTAAAAGTGCTTGAATGCTCATGGCTTTGAGGGACAATGTCTCTCCTGGGCTGCCCTGAATGCCCTCATCAAAGATGCCAAATGTGGCAAGAGTACTCATCTTCCTCATCCAAAGAAGCCTAAGGCTCAGTCTGTGAAGACTCACCCCTCGCTGGGGGTCAAGAAATTTCCTTTTTGTCACTCCACAAAGTCAAGCTCCAAGTCTGGTGCCCAGTTCGTCCAGAAATTTAGGAACTCCAAGTCCTGCAAACCCTCAGATAAGTCTTCTTCAGCGGTGCACCCCCACTTTCAAAGTGGGGGGGATATCTGTTGGCACAGATTAGCATAACTCCATACAACCCTACCAGGTCTTCCGAAACGGTATCAATGCCTCAGAATATTACTTCAACTTGTTCCCAAGCCTAAAGGGGGCATCTGCCCCTTTTTGGATCACAAGGCCCTAAATGTCTTCATTAAGATCCAGAAATTATGCTTGGAATCCACCAGGTCTGCCATACGGGAGACTTTCTGGCCTCTGTGAACAAGGGTGTTTACCTGCATGCCCTCATCTTTCCAGTGCACCAGTGACTCCTACGCTTTGCTGTGGGTCATCTGCACTTCTAGTTTGTGGTTGTGCCACTCAATCTATATTCTGCCCCTCAGGTTGTTAACCCTGCTGGCCCCAGTGCTATCCTTATTGCGCTCTCAAGGCATTTCCATTGTTGGAAATCTGGGTAACCTCCTGCCATGGGAAGAGACGCCACAGGTTCTGGTGAACAACATATCCTTGACTTTTGAGATCTTGCAGAGGCTTAGCTTCCATTCACAAGCGTGGACAGTTGGCAGGCAGACTTCCTTAGCTGCCAGCAACCTGACCCGGGGAGTAGTCTCAACACCCATAGGTGTTCCAGGACATGGACCTCCTAGCCTACAAGTTTGGCAAAACAAGGTCCAGGTTTCCTACAGGTTCAACAAATTGACAGGGATCCACTAGCAAAAGCTTTAATATCATCATGGGATCAATACACCCTACTGTATGTATTGCCTTCCCTGAAACTTCTTTCTTACGTGATGCGCAGGATTGGAATGAAGAGCATTCCACAGATCCCCATAGCTCCAGACTGGCCCAGGCAGATTTGGTACTTCTACATCTTCTGTCTTAATGATGGATATACAATCCTGCTTCACAGTCGCTGGCTTAAAGGCATGGCAGTTGAAGCCTTGGTAGGGAAGGGACAGTGGCATCTCTGAATCGGTTATTCCAATGGTGCTAAAAGCTTGGATGTCTGCTTCTTGCAATGCTTATCTCCGCATGTAGAAAGCATGCTTCACTTGGTGTGAGGCACAAGGTTTTCACTCAGGAAAATCTCCATGGTACATACCCATGCATTTTCCACATGGGTCTGAACTAGCATTTGGTCCTCAGCACCATCAAAGGTCTCTTCTCTTGCAATGTTGCTCCATGGACTTCTGGCTTTTGTGCCGGGTGTCTCCCATATCGCTCCCCTGTGACTGAGAGAGATCTGAATTTTGGTTCTCTCTGGAAGCCCAGAGAGAACCAAAATTCGGATCTGTTTAGGACCTAAACCAACTTTTGATCTGATCAGAGATATTCCACTCCCGATCACAGGGTTGCATGTCATCCACAACCTCTGAGGAGAGTTTCAGAGCTGGCGCCCTTATCCTGTAAAGAACCTGTCCAAGGACAAGGTAGTGTTGAGGCTCAGAACTCCAAGTTTCAACCTTTCACTTCAAGCAGGACCTCGTTCTTCTGTCCCGGCTCCAGCTCTTAAGAACATCTCCCTCCATTGTCTGGATGTAGATCAGGCTGTGAGAGTTCATCTCGCAGTCACTGGTTCCTTCACGTCACATGTGATGGCCCCCATTAAGGGTGAAGCAGATCTACCCTTTCTCTGAGCCTCAGACAGACCGGTATTCAAGCCTATGGTCTCAAGCTGCGGGTGCCACCTTATCCTGTCAAGGCACACCCCGCTTGGTCTGTAAGTGGCTCTTGTCTTATAGCTTTGCAAGGCTGCCGTCTGGTCTTCTAAGTTTTACCAGGTGGATGTTCAGGCCTCATTTGATGGCAGTTTCGGGTGGCTTTTTTTTGGGGGGGGGGGGGGGGGTTGCCTGTTACCATTGGTTTGCTGTTGTCCACCCCTCAGTTGTACTGCTTTTGGACTTCCCAACAGTATGTGACTTCCTGTGTCCCTCAATGGACAACAAACAAATAGGATTTTCTTTACATAAAACCCTTTCAAATCAATTGAGGCAAACAGGACCCACCTCTCTTTTGGAACTGAGGCATGCTGGGAGTAGGAGGGGTTTTCCTGGGCTGGTCTAAAGTGTTTTTTTTGCCATTGTCCTGTAGGTGGCAGTATAAGCCTACAACAGAGGCCAGGGAAAGGCAGCACAAGGAGCCAATCAATTGTGAACATTCTGAGAAGAGAGCAGAGAGATGAGTTCATCCGTCTTCTGCTTTCACTGTCCAGTCACAGGCTAGGGGCAGGACAAGACCTGTAATTGTTACGTTACTGCAGCTGAGAAAAAAAAACAGGTCTCCTGCCCTGCCAGACAGAGCTGTGCAAATCTCAGGACCGAATGGACTAAAATACAAAACCTTTGGCCTGTGAAACATCGCCATCTGTATATTTAGCTGGTTGCTAGTTCAGCTCCATAACCCCGACATGAAATGTGATGGGTGACAACAGGAAAATTGACCCACGAAACTCTGCTTCCCTAGGTGTCTTTCCTCTGCCAGCCCACCCATGATTGGGCAGTGACTGGCGAGCTGATCAAGTCATACCTGTGCTCTATCCTCTGAGGGCTTGTCCAGACCAGAACAGTTTGTTCCCGGATCAAACAAGCATCCCAATGTATTTCTGGGCTCTTTTCACACCAGCAGAGTCCGTTCCGGTCCAGAAGGTCTCATTTTCTCTGGTCTGGAACACATGTGAATGCATCTAAAATGCATAGAAACGCACTGGACTGCACCTAAAAGCCCATTGTAAGCAAAAACGCACTGGAACACGGTAAAAGCACACTGCATTGTGTTTCCAGATCTGGTCTGGACATGGTGAACACAGCCTTATACGTGTGTTAGACTGTCAACACATGTGCATGGAAGAAGATCTGATTCCAGGCTGCCTAGCAACAAGTGAAGCAGGAGTTCTTTCGATAGAACACCGGCTTCCTGGCAAGCCCACGGTACCCCTGGATGCCGGTATCGGCGAGTACCGAAAAACAAATATCAGAGGAAGCAATCGAAGTCCAGGAGAGGAGCCGGTGCAACTGTGCAAGACTGGACGGAAAGTGGGAGTTCAGCTCTAAATAGGTTGCTATGGGTTACAGCACTTAACATTTTCCCACTGCCTTTTGCTGATCAGATTGGACTTGCAGTCATGCAAATGTTGTCTCCTTTTGCCAGTCATTGTATTTGTTATTTACTTTAACATATCTAAGTGCACGAGTACACGCAATCAGGAGTCTGCACACGCCTGACAAATAAAGCTCACTACACA